TATGCGACTTCAGAATGGTTAATAAGAATTTAACTGAAGCAGCAGAAAAGCAAGAAGCTTATAGAGACAAAAAAGCTCATCACAAAGGAATTCAAGTGGGAGATGTCACTTATGTGTGCACTCAAGTGGTGAAGCCTGATATGGCCAAGAAGTTCTCAAAGTTTAATACGAGTCCTTTAAGGGTGATTCAGCAGGTTACTAAAGTTAACTTCAAGATTGCTCCAATCAAAAATCATTCTCAGGTAGAATCTACACTGACTACCAATAAGTATTTGGACACCTATGCAAATGGCGATATCTGCGGTCCTAAGGTACATCACGGACACCGCCGGTATATATCGTGTAGGAAACAGCATCGCTTTTAGTCGCATGCAAGATGCCTCACAGTTCAGAGCTCTCTGATTTCGAGAAAGGTATAATTATCGGGTATCACAAATGTCGCCGATCCTTAAGGGACATACCTAGTGATCTGAAGTACCCAAAATCGACAGTGAATCAACAGTGGCCTATGTGATTAAGAAGTGGAAGGTGAGCGGTGATTGTCGCAATGTGCCCCGAGTTGGCAGACCAACGAAACTAGGAGATAGAGACCGACGAGTGCTGTCCAGAGAAATTCGGAAGAACCGCACCCAACCGATGGCCCTCATCTGCGAGGAGTTTCAACAGGCATCTGGGAGTATTGTTTCAATGAATACCATCCATAAGGAAGCACATCTGCTTGGTTTTCATGGTCGTGCTGCTGCCCATAAGCCTTTGATCACAAAGTCCAATCGCGCTGCTCAGATAATGTGCAAAGCACATCGAAATTGGACCGTAGATCAGTGGAAACAGGTTCTTTGGAGTTACGAATCAAGGCTCACCCTTTACCGTTCGGATGGCAGGGTTTGGGTCTGGCGTCTACCTGGAGAACGTCTCCTGCCAGAATGCATTGTGCCAACAGTCAAGTTCGGCGGAGGTGGAATTACGGTCTGGGGGTATTTCTCCTGGTATGGGCTGGGATCCTTGGTCCCCATTCATGGTAAGCTCAACTCCAATGCCTACTGCACTATTTTGGATGACAATGTGCTTCCTACGTTGTGGCAGTTTTACGGGTTGGACCCCTGTTACTTTCAGGACAACAATGCCAGTTGTCATGTTTCGACATTAACCAAGGCTTGGTATGGTGCCAATGGAGTTCATCGAATGGACTGGCCTGCCCAGAGTCCAGACCTGAACCCTATCGAGAACCTCTGGGATGAGTTGCATCGCCGAATTCAGGGGTGCACTACCCGTGCAAAATCGGTGAAGGAACTTCTATGTCTTCTCCAAGCCGAGTGGAAGAAAATACCACTAGCTGTCATACAAAGACTTGTGGAAAGTATGCCCTGGAGGGTCCACGCTGTAATTACCTCTTGTGGAGGGTCTACCAACTATTGATTTTGAATAAAGTTAGTTTTTCTTTTTCTATCACAGGTGTCCAAATACTTATTGGTAGTCAGTGTATTCATGCAGATGGTTTAACTAAGGTGCCAGAGTGAATCATTTTTCCTACGTTACAAAATTTTGATCCCAGTTCAGGTCACTCAGAGACTGTATCACACAATACATTGCTTTGTTACAAAGTATTGGTGGTAGTGCAATTACTTTATGTATTATGTTCAGTTTCGTACAGGCTTCAATGCATTCTTTTAACTGAATTTAAATCATTTTTAGTTAGTTGTATTTTATTGGTAGGGTGCTGTCATGTGTTTATTCTTGTCATGATTACATCGATACATTTTACATGCTTTCGCATCTAAGGATGGTGTCGTGGTCACAGATTTTCACCTTACTGTCTTTATAGCTGTTTTTTTTTTTGGGGGGGGGGATGTTCCAGGGCTGCTATTTTTCCCACTTCAAGTTAAGTTTTAAATTTTTTCCCCCTCCTGCTTGTGATCTTAAGCACTTAGGGTTACCTTTCAGCTAGTTTTGACAGGACCGTTAAAATTGCTTTTGCCAATTCTTTATGATGCTTTCTTTTTTATATGCTGTTTATGTTAGGACATGAGTTTAGTTCTTGCCTGAAGTTACTTTCGTACTTTATTGATGTGAACTTTAAATTTTTTTTCTCCCATTGAGCACAACTTAGTTAACAGAAAGGCACAAATTTTCTGTACAAAAGCATAAAAATTTCAATTAGTTAAATTAATAATTTCTATTTCGAAATTGTGATAATACTCCCGGAATACTTGAAACACTAGTCTCTTTAATGCAGAATTAAATCCAAGATACCTATTTTGAGTTTTCCGAAAATTAACAACACTGAGTTTAAAAAGTAGACTAACTATAACTAATTAATGTCTTAATTAACTATAACTAATTTCGCTTATTAAAATAAATACAAGCAAACACACAAGCTGATTAAACCCTTAATTAATATTACTAATAAGGTGTGTAGCTGAAATTTAGAATACACTTTGAGTAATAAGATATATTAAGCCACACAACATTCGCACATAAAAGGAGAGTTTTTCTTTTCCTGCGAATTTATACAGTCCATGGAATTGTTCTTTACACATGTCTTCACCTAGTGGTCTGATATTGAGAGTGTTTTGTTACTTTTGTTATTAAAATGACAGGAATTATTTAACATTTCTGTTTTTGGAGCTTTATATATTGTATTTTGTTTGGTATTCATGTAATTTCAGTGGCAGTTTGGTGTTTTTAGCATAAGCTGCAATGATTTTTTGTTTTTGTTTTTGTTGTTCCTTATTTACAGGGTGAATTGTTTGTTTTGGAGTTTGTTTACTGTGTTTTTCCTTTCTTTGGGTGTGCTGAATTTTAAACATCAACAGTTACTTTTTTAACTTAAGGAGGGAAAATAACTTCCTTCTTTTGTTTGATTTTCGCAAAACTTCTTGACCTTCAGCCATAACTGTTTTTCTTAGTTTTGGGACAGAAGTTATCTTCTTTTACAATTGACAATTAACATGTTTTGTATTATTCATATCATGCCAATTTTATTATCCTTCACATTTGTAAACTTAAGGCACAAGTCTCTTGGCTTCCCAGTTAGGGGAGGAATGGTGTGTACCTGAATTTATCTAATTACTCAAAGTGTATTCTAAATTTCAGCTACACAACTTATTAGCAATATTTGTTAAGAATTTAATCAGCTTGTGTGTTTGCTAGTATTTATTTTAATAAAGTTAATTATAGTTAGTCTACGTTTTAAACTCAGTGTAGTTAATTTTTGGAAAATTCAAAATAGGTTTCTTTTATTTGATTCTCCCTTAACTCTTTAAGGGGCAGGAGAGGCAATTAACTTTTTCTGCAAAACTCTTGTTTTATTTACTATATCAATTGTTGCAATGAAATTATTTGTGACAATTACACATACTTTGTGTAAGATGTATGAAAAAAAATGACCACTTCTGGTGGTTAGTGTCAGTAACCACTGCCCCCAGCACACATCCCTACAAATCAGTCTCTATAGTAATCATGTAAACAGTTTTTCTTTCTCAAGCACGACTGCAACTTTGTATGTGCTGCATTCCCACACTGTTCTTACAGGATTTTTTCTTGGTGCTGCAGAGTGCACATCATTGGGATGTTGTCTTCAATGGCAGGTGGTGTTCGTAGCCGAGAACAAATATCCAGAACCGACCACTTGTGAGAGGAGACCTGATGTTTAATCTTAGGGGAGGACGCCGGCACCTGACACTGAGGATGAATATCCAGAACCGACCACTTGCGGTACGATACCTGGTGTTTGTTTGAGGGGCAGGGGTTAAGGGAATGGAGAATTGCTCTCGTCTCCCTAAGTTCAGCATTGGCTTCTTTGTGGCCTCTGCTGGAAACTATGTTGGCTGGCATAGGCTAACGATGCTGGACAACTCATCCCTTGGTATCGACTGGTAGGAATTTTTGGAACTGACAATTTAATGAGAGGAGACCCGAGGTTCTTCCAGACCACTGGCTGGACTTTTGTCTACACAGCTTTGGTTCCTTGGTTAAATAATCAGTCCTCACATACATTAGAACCACCGTATATTCAGTGGTAGGTTCAGGCTTGGCAGGGATCATACTGATATTGTCTTGTCTGTGATCTTGGTTGCGGGGTTGTTCCCGGTTAAGGCTCGGCAATGGTTGATGGCGACATGTAAAGTCCCTGTGAATTCATTGGAGGGAGTGGCACCCCTTCGGACAATCTCTGAAGGCTGGATGCATAACTATGTAAGGCTGCCCAAAGGCATGCCAGGTAATGGAGTCTACACCTTCGGTGTTCTGTCATCAATGACTGATGCTTATTTTCTTGAAGACGAATTGCTGCATCAGCTACTGGCTTATGTTCCTTGATTGCCATCTAGTGAGCTACAAGGAAACTTCAGAAACGATCAGTCTTGAAAACCGCTCACACGAGTGAGTAAGACGCTGCTTGTAATAAATCTCTCTAACTTGCATCATTTCCATATTAATGCAGGTCATGATTATTAATTACATAGCATTAAAGATGCAGGCTCTTACATAAAGGCTTACATCAATAATAATTATAAATGATTTCAGATTTGGAAATCAAAACTTTTAACAGCCAATACCAAACAATTTTTATTGTCCAATGGGAAACTTTTGATTGTCCAATAGGAAAACTGCTAAGTGAAACTAACTTTCAAACTGCTTTCCTCTTGAACAAACTGCATCCCTGACCTTTCTTGCTCTCAAATGAATATGTCGCTTTACCTCCCTCTTTCATCTATCACACTGTCAAAAGATGCAGAGCAGACAAAAATGTGATCAAGATGGCAAGCAGATTGCAGCCATCATGATGTATAATTGATATTACGAATGTGTTTTTCAACAACAAAATGTGTTAAAATAATCGCAACAGCTAACATTTGACTGCAACTGCATATTTACGCATCTACATGGCATCAACTTCCAAATCATTCTAAACATACATATGTATAAACAATTTGTTCAGACATTTTTATGTGATAATAATTAGACTAAATAATCTGATAAACTGAAACATAAAAACTCACCATGATTACGGAGTAAAACCTCAGCAGTGAACAGTGGCACATGAAACATATCAGACGTCTCAACAAGAAGCTGATCTTTAGCTTCTTGAAGATCTTGAGCTCTTAATCCACTTGCAGCCTATATATAATTCTCAGTTATCATAAACTATAATTCTTCAGGCCTCTATCAATGATTGGCAAAATTTCAATAAAAAGACTACAATTTACCTCTTCCGTATTATCAGCTTCATTAATAGTATGAATAATGTCAGATGTGTCAGTCTGTTTAAATAAAAATAACTACAAGTTAAAATTCACAACTAAAATGTGCAATTAGATAATATTAGCATTTTACACCTAAGAAATGATCTCCAGACTTATGTATTAGTATAACAACCTTGTCACAATCTGCAAGACTTACAATTGCAAAAAAATTACTTAATTATATACATATTATAGAACACTAGCGTGCAAAACTTAAGCAACTTTTCTTATTTTGGCTGTAATTTCATAAAACATTAACTGTGAGTAAAATTCATACTACAGGGACACAATGTAGTATTTACAGAAAGAAGAAAATATAACAGCAAACAAAAATGAATAGGACGCATACTGTATGGAATGAAGTGAAAAATGTTTTATTGACAGAATGACATTGGTACAGAAAACTGTCTGGCCAAGAGGGAGGCCCACAAACCAAAGAGCCTTTTTAAAGGGATATGACCTTCCCTAAATGCAATGATTACATTACACTGTCTATCGATACTCAACACCAGATTTTTTAACACATCTTGGAGTAAGAGTAGGAGTATATATATCAAGGAGTATATGTTTCGGTTATCTGGTGTTCTCCTAAGAGTAAAACCTTACCTCTCTACATATCAACTAAAGCCGAGAATCATTTGTCAGACTGAAACAACTTCCATTGGGAAAGAGGATGAGGTTCCATTAATGAGGTGTACAGTCTTTGTGTTCTTTACACCACTGATAAACTGATGTCAATGGTGTGCAGCACTCAGGATGGTGGCAAATAAGCCACAGTAATGTATTCTGAAGTCGTCTGGCCACAGTAAACCAGGAGACCTGTCATCCAGTTCTCAAGGGCATCTGCTGAATAATGTTACCGGCTCTCTGGTTTTGATCTCTTTTCACTTACAAGGTGATATATCAGCCATCAGTCACTACTGTTTTCCTTCACCAATCATCATCAATCTTTCTTACAGCTGCACTTGTTGTTTGAAAGCCTTTCCAAGCTTGAGAAATAACACTTTGATCAATTCCAAATTCTTCGGTGACAGACTTCAAACTACACCCCTACTCATGCTTGCTAATCATTCAATCACATGTAAAGGTGCCCTGGTATTCTTTGTAGCCATAATACACATACAATCTCCCTTTCACGTGCAGATGAATGCTTGAAAATGTGCCTTCCTTTCTCATTTTTAAGTTGCCTTGCACGACATTCGCTGACTCCTCATGTTTTGTTTGCCAATGTTCCCTCTCATGTCATGATGCTGATATTTGCATATGCATCACCTATCTATTCAGTTGCTACTTGCTTTTCATCCTATTGATTGCAAAATGCCCTTGGTTTTTGCAATCAATTCATTGGTTGTACGTTGTATTTTTCATTGGTTGTACATTTGTAAATGTTATTGGTTGTATGTTGAAAAACGAATTTGCTGCTTAAATTTTGCTCACTAGTGCATGTTATTATACATACTATTATTCATTCCAAAAATCAATTAATACACATCCTTATAAGCAATTTTTTCTTGTGTGCTTGTGAACTTTTGTTCTTGTGAAAATTCTGTGGACATAGCTTAAAGAATCAACTCAAAGTAATTGCTTTTTTTAACAATTTTGCAGTAAATTTTTATTGCAGGCAAATTCCAGAAGTGCATATTTTAAAACTAAGACATAAAAAAGTATCATGACTTATCTATAAACCAGAGCTGTGGAGTTGGATTCATGGAGTCGGAATCGGAGTTAAGCAGATTTTGGGTTTAAAGGAGTCGGAGTTGGAGTCACTAAAACCCATTGACTCCGACTCCAGTTTATGTTGGACATTTGAATATGAAATGAAATTAAAGTGAATTGAAAAAAAAAAAAAAAATAATGACAAATTAAGTTCTTATTTTTATTTATAGACTATATACATTAATAAATAGTTATTTTCTATTTTATTGACATATTAATAAATAAATATAAAGGAGGAGGATGGATGTGATATTTGCCATTATTGATTAAATTGCTTCATTTAGTTACAATTTAGATAAGCAGCAAGAACTCCCAAAATTGAGGCCATTCTTAGGACGCTAGCAGGAAAAGGAGCAATTATTGATCAAGGAATGTTAATGGGGAAGTACATATTTGGTGATATAGAGGTTGTAAGAATTAAGAACTTTTTTAGAAGATGTAGATAACCCTAATGTTTCACTAACAGAAAGACTGTGGAAGGATCTTGCAGAATTGGAAACACTTCTTTCTACACTGAATATAGCCACAAAAAAGCTACAATCTTAAGAATTAACAGGAGGCGATAATGGACGAATGTGATGTTTGCTTTTTCTGAAATGGAGGGTTTATTGCAGAAGGAATCATTTCTTCAATGAAAAAGAGAGAAACTAATTTGCTAGACAATGAGATCTTGCTAGGTTCAATATATGTAGATCCCCCAAACCGAATTTTGTTGGATGACAAACAAATTAAAAAGACAAAGAACGCCATCTATGAACTTTCATTAAGAATGAAATTATTCTCAAAACAATTGCAGTATTCAAATCAGGATAGTCAAACTGCAGACATTGCAACTGAGTCTCTATCATCCTCTTTCAGTAAAGAATTATATTTTGAGAAATATTTGGATAATATTGAAAAGGCTTGGCAAACCAAAGCGAATGAAAATAAAGAACCAAGAACCTTTAGATATAAAAATGAAAAAATACAAACAAAATTTCTATATGACATTTGAAGATATAGAGAATTATGATTGCTCTTGCAAGCCACCTCTTTTAGAACTTATAAAAACCTAGCCTGAAAAGTTAAAAGAAGTAGCCCTAACAGTAACAGTTCTTCCTCCTATTCAAGTCAGTGTGGAAAGACTCTTCTCAGCTCTGAAGTTCATCAGATTGGATCTACGGTCCTTTATCAAAGAAGATCTTGATGAAGCTATACTGGTTCTTAGAAATTTACAATGCCAGTTTTTCCATTTCATAATAAATGCTAATTAATATAAATAATTTGCTATGTCGTCAATTTTTTTCTATTTACTTCTTTTATATTAAAAAAATAAGCTGCAACCCATGTGTATATCCTTACATATATATGAGGGAGTCGGAGTCTAAAATTTCAGGAGTCGGAATTAAGAATCAGAGCTGATTATTTTGCTTACTGACTCCACAGCTCTGCTATAAACACACTTTGAATTTAGAACATAAAAAGAATGCATACAAGAATGGTGATATTGCTTGTTGAAACATTGTTATGGGCATGGTTGTCAGAGTTTAACCCATATAGGACAGCTCAATTAAATTTCATTAAATGGAAAAAAAGGTAAACAGATAGATAAAATTTGGCATAACTCCCTTGAAATAGATGTAAGTTTCATATGCAGGCTAAAAAACAGGCCTTCATAATTTCATTAAAAATATGACTTTAAAAATAACCCTTTAAAATAATTTATTTTTAAGCCATTATTTAGGATTAAAATCTATATTTTTTCTAAACAGATATACAAGTAGATTCAGAATTCATCATCAATACTTGGTGGGGAGGTAGGGAATAGGAAAAGGAGATTTCACATAGGAAAGTATGGGCGCAGACGAACGCATGGTGGTGTAATGAATTTGCAGATATGCATGTAAATGCCAGGCATATTCCATTCCAGAAGGTCCAGTTGTTCATGCAACGCCATTGTGAGTGATTCATTTTAGCACATGGTCAGCAGTTCGAGCACCTCTTTTAAGTTTGTAAAACTGATGCAAAGAAATGTTACATGTAAGATAATAAATGTTTTTTTCCTTACTACTTCCTTTTTATGTGTTCTTTCCATCATTGAACTGGGGTCATTTTGTCCTACTACATGGCATATGTGCCCATGCATTCCTATGTGAAATCTCCTTCTTTCCTATTCCCTACCTCCCCACCAAATATTGATAATGAATTCTGAATCACCCTGTATATACATTTCTGTTAGTGGATTTATAATAATATTTATAGAAATAAAAATATCCATGAAAAAATTTTCTTTTTAAGGTATTTTGTTTGCATTGTATATGTGCCCTGTAAATAGGACAATGGTCCGATCCCCAACTGTTTTACATTCGTCACTTCCCCAATTCAAGAATCATGTTCCTTCAAACCAATTTTGAACAACAGCTATTCATACAATGACGTTAACGTGACATACGGAAAGATTCAGGAAGAGATTATTCTGGAATTTTCTTTGGGTATCTTTTGCATTGCATTTCAAAAGTAAAATGTCACATGACCTCCTAAATAGGTTTTTCTAACTAAAAGATGGTTCCTCTATCCATACGATGCTTCTTCAGCAATAGTAGTAGCAGATGTAATTTTGGATTTAAAAAAAAAAAAAAAAAAAATTTTAAATAGGAATTAACCTGGAAAGTTTCTTTTTTGACCTTAGATCCTAATGGCTCCCCTGTGGGCATACAAACTGTGACATCAGAAGAAACCTTTCTATAGAACTGCACATGCACTTGTTCTTTTGAGAGAAATTATCCGCAGTATTTTTTCTAAAGTAGATCAGTTATTTCTTTGTTAATCACTTGAGTGAAAATTTCAATTGTCTTTTAAAGATCAATATTTTTAATTGACAAGAAGATTTCTAACAGCTCTAGAGGCTCTTGAATTTATGAATTCCCCCTCTGATGAAGAAACTGATAAGCATGAAATGGTTATTATTCCCCCTGAACCTGATTCAGTTAGTGATGAAGAATAGATAGGTGATTCTGCCACAAACTGTAACATATTAGTACCATGTGGCAAATCTGAAACAGAAGATACCACAGGAATTGTAAAAATTTTATCAAAAAACTGTGAAGAACCTAATTTTGATGTCAAAGCCCCTAAGTAGAAAAAATGTGAACTCCAATTCAGACTTTCAAGCTGTATTTCTTTTCAAGACCATCAAAATATTCTAAATGTGGTGCCAGAAAAAACTCCATTTGAATATTTTCACATGATGGCTGAAGACATGATTTCACATACAGTTGTAGGGACTAACCAGTAAACAAAAAAATTACCAAAGGACACTAGAG